TATATATATATATATATATATTAAAAAAGGAACTGCTTGTTTCAATAGTTGCGTAAATTCTTCAGATTCATCCGTTTTAACTAGACTGTAAAACAATATACCTATATATATAAAAAATTGCTGTATATAAGATTTTTTTTTTCTTTTTCAGAATTGAGCATTTGGAGTTCCTCGACGAGAGGGAGCTGCTCCAGCAGCTTCTCCAACACTACTGCATCTGCTGGGCCTCCAAGGACAAACTCAGCCTGGGTAATATTCCACACTCCAGCTGCAGCTCACATTTATTTTCTGACATTCTGATGCTACGGTGACTCCTCTTCACAAGTTATTTATTTTGTGCCACTCATATGTGACGAACCGACCTTACAGCCATCACATCACTGCAGTCGTTAACGAGAACAAACCATGTTCTGTTTCTTCAGGGCTGTCCCATTTGGCATTTTGAGTGTGACATTTTGAACCGTGAGTTCACCAAAATCAACAGGAAGTGAAGATCTGAGAGAGGAGACACCAGAGGAAAAAAGAAACCGCATCATGACGATTTAATTTCTTGTATTATGTCCAAATCGTCTCATCTATGGAAATTAAAGAATGACGTTTGAAAACAATGAGATGTCATGCATTTCATAAGAATCAGAAGAATAAGCATAATAATAATATTATCATTGTACCGAGATACAGCGAGAATTCATACAGTCGTCTGAAAGATGGGCGCTTCAAAGCATCAGAGCGTCTCCTCCAGGTGAACACAGCGATTCCACGGAGGTGGACAGTCCTTAGTTAAAAGTAACGGGCTGCTCACTGAAGCTGAGACCGGCTCTGTTGAAGACGAAGTCCCCCACAGCCAACTCGGTTCGGTTCTGGTCCAGTTCGGGGGTCACAGGTACACTTCCCCCACACCAATGAAGACACCACGAGGCCAGTCCAGCAGAAAACCAGCGAAATACCACCTGGCGATTCTTGTCGGAACCAGGTAGAACCACAAAGGTCTCATTTACAAGAGAGACCTGATTTACCTGGTTTACACCATGATGATGATGATGATGATGCAGGTCAGTGCTGTCAAAATGAACATGATGAATTATGATGGTCAAGCTGATTTGAAATTAAATGAGTAAGGTGCATTATAAAGTCAAATGCTAGATGACCACGACTGCATCGTGTTGCTTTAGTGAGTTCATCTCTGCAACTGGACAGAAACCAGGTCAAACTGGAAATCCATCCACTGAGACCACATATCACAAGTCAGATAAATAAACTCCATATTTAATTAAAGGTACTTTTTGTAAAGTATAAAGTCAAACATTAAACCATCTTATCCTGAACTGCTTCAAATGGTTCGATCGAAAGCGTTTACTCCAGATGTATATTTTCTTCAGCTGCTCTCTTCTTCAGGGGTCGCCACAGCGAGCGAACTCGCACAAAGAGTGGACGGTTGTTTTAACGCCGGATGTCCTTCCTGACACAGCCACAGAACATGGAGCTACCACAGCCCTCCGTGTGGAGCAGGGGGCTGCCATAGGGCACCCAAGGGAGCTAATTTGAGGTTATGGACCTTGTTCAAAGACAACAGAGTGGGACAAATGAGGACGAAGGCAGAAGTAGATGCTTTCCCACACTTTTTGATGTTATGATCATGGGATTTGAACCGGCAATCTCCCAATCACAGGCTTAAATTCTCTAACCACTGCCCCCTGATTCCAGATATATTTAAATGTAATACTGAAATGCTGATATGCACTCAATGTAAGCAAAGCATTGACTGAACCTGCAGACAAACCACACTGAAGCTTGAGGTGAAGGTCGACCTCCAAGAGGTGAGCTGAAGTCGACCAAATGTCGGGGATCAAGCAAGGAGCACCTTAAAAACACAAGTCTGCGTTGAAACAGCTTTCTAAAAACAAATTTGACCAATTTTCAGTCACTTCGGCTGTTTCAAACACACATAGTAGTTGGTATCTGGACACAAACGTAAGTTTAAAGTTTTAAATTAAAGAGGCATCAACAATGAAATGAAGAAAAAAAAAAGTTTAAGTTTCTCACGTTATAGTTTTTGTCCGGTCTTCATGACTTTGCCATAAGCTCTGGTGTAGAAGACGTCATCCTAACGAGTAAGAAGAACACTAATAACACTGTTAGCTCCTGATGTTGCACAGATGTTATCATTTCCATTTCATATGACACAAGAGCTGTTAATTATCATGGAGAAGCTCCTGAACAAGTCCGCTCCACCTCCACAAACATGTTTACACTTAAATCTCAGTCATTCAGAAGTTTATTCTGTATTGTCCTTTTGGACTCGTGGTTCTTAAGAGACATGGTTCAGAGGGTTATGGACTTATTTAAGCACTTTGTTAACAGTTCCTGTTTTAAATGTGCTATAAAAATAAATCTAACTTGACTTATTTACAACCTAATTATTAGCTGTAATGTGTTTGTGGTGCATGTGCAGATAGCACAGGGAGGCTCTAGATTGGGCTGTTCTGCCCCTCATCGTGCTGTTTGTCCTGCGTCTGATGGACAGGCGTCTCCTTTTATAACATCATGAGGGCCACAGAGCGTAAAGTCCAGCCTGTTTGTTGGATGGGAACACAGTTTAACCACACTGACTGAGGGATGGAGCTACTGCTGCAGATGGTTGGACAGATCAAGACTTCATTCGAAACAACAGAAGTCTGAATGCAGACATAAAAGAAAGAAAAGAAAACTGACTGCAAGTGTAAAATTTAAAAGTAAATTTAGTTCTGGATCAAAAAGTTGGTCTGTAAAAACATATTTGACATGAAGACTGGTGGCAGCTAAAATGTCAATATGGAAAATAAATATATTTATCTTCCTTTACTAAATGATCATTTTTACCAAAAAAAAAAAAAAATCCAAGTCAAAGGATGATTATTATTATATTATTATGATTGTGAATCTTTCACCCAGAATTCTTAATTCTTTTTTTAAACAGTTGTTTTTTTTTTGCTGCAGTGAAATAACCTTTAGCTTTAAAAATGAGAACTTACAAATTGGTTTACTTTTTACTTTATTAGAGTTTTTTGCTTAATCTGCATTTTTGTTGTTATGATTTATCTCCAGGTTTTGTCCCCTAACTTATTATTTACTTCACTCAAATCATCATCTTGTTAAAAGGACGTAAAAATTGTGTGAGGAGAACTTTCATTATTGAAATATATTTAATACGTATATCCGGACGTAGTCAAGGTAGTATATTTTTACTAAATCTGAGTTTTAATGTTTAATTTAATTGAGTCAAACTAATTAAATGTTTTTCTTTTAATAGATTTTGTGAGATTTGTTTCAGTTCATAATGAAACTAAATTGATTCTTGCATGAACTTGCACTTTATGGAGAAAAGCAATCACGTAAGTGTCTCTGTGTGTGTGTGTTTGTGTGCGTTAGCAAAATATTACATGAATGAGTGGACAGACTTTAATGAAACGCTTAGGGGTTTTAAATTAGAGGTAAATCTAAATCTGTTAAACTCCTGAGTTGACCTGAGTCAAGATGGCCTCCACAACTATGACCTCATCAAACACAAACATCTGTTTAACTCAGTTCATGCTATAAACAATGAGCTCAGATTTGATGTGGTAGTAGCTGAGAGTCATTACCAACACATTCTGAGGGTTAACAAACTGAGCGAGAACTTTGTTTGAAACTTTGGGACGCTACATTGACTGAAATCATTAACCCCAGAAGAGATGTACTGGTTCATTTAACAAGAAGTTGAATATTTCCTCAACCAGCCACGTTAAATTAAAACAGAGAAAAAGTGTTGTTTTTTTTTTTTTGTTTGTTTCTTTGTTTTTTTTGTCCCTGTTTTAAATAAAAATCAATAAAAAAAAAAAAAATTAAATAAATAGTGTTATTTAAAAATTATTAATAAATATCCGATTAAATAAATAAATGTCCCCATGAAATTAAAAATTGCTGCCCCTCATTTGAATATAAGAACATGAAATGAAATGCCCTTAAAATCAAAAACGGATTAAAAAAAAAAAAAAGCTCCTAAAATATGTAAAGAAGCTTTACAAAATAAAAGTGTCACAAAATGAAACACCATTTTTAAATAAATAAATCTTAACTAAATAAAAAATACATCTCAAAATAAATTTAAAACAATCAGAAACAAAAAATCTATTTAAATGTTTTATTTCTTGGAAACAGTTACTTATTTAATGGAATATTTATTAATAATTTTTAAACAACACTATATTTATTTATTTAATTTGAAACGAAACGGCTCTCCATAGCAAACACTATAAAGTAATGTTTAAAATTTAAGCCTTTCAGTTGTAATACATTTGTTTTTACTTTACTTCCTTGAAGACCTGAGGACTTGACAGGGATGTTTATAAACAAAACAAAACAACAACAAAGAAACAAAGGGATGTTTATAAACAAAACAACAACAAAGAAACAAAGAACAATAAAATAACAGTGATTCAATTGACAGGAATCAAAGAAAATGAGTGTGTCCGAGTGTCTTTGAACCACACTTAGTCACTAAACAAAAAAAGTACTTGTTAGTAAAACACGTTAAAGTACTGTGTTTGATATTATCTCATGTTTACCTGAGTACAGGTGAGTGCAGAGTGCACCTGCACACCGACCTCTCAGGGCGTCTTATCTATATAGGCTCCTGTCAGTTATGGCAGATCACCTGTGTGACCATATAAAGGTGAGATGATGATTATTCTGGATAAATACCAGTTTAACCTCTGAAATGTTTAGTGATCCATCAAATTGCTGGTCAGTTGATGCTTCTCCTGTCTGTTCTTTGAACCTCATCAATCCTTGAGTTAACGGTCTTGTTTGACCTGAAATGTTGTCAAACACCTTAAGATTAAGATACGTTGGGAGGAGATAGTCCATTACCCCTCACCCGTGTTGTTTTATGACGGTGAATTCAACAACGGCAGCACATAAACAGCACTATGCAGGTTCTTTGACTCAGTCAGGCTGGTTCAGGTGCACGTGCTGGAGAGGGGATTTCTGGACAAAACGGCTGCAACCATGAGTGTGGAGAAAATGGAAATGGAAAATCTGTCCGATTCCACTTATCTGAAGAAGAAGAGTAAGAAACTTTCAGGGTCCAAGCCTCAAAACAAGTTTGAGAGATTGTTCCAGCCCTGTCTTGCTGAAGTTGTGGGGACCACGTTCTTTGTTTTCATCGGCTGCGTGTCCGTCATCGAGAACGTCCCTGCAGCGGGACGGCTGCAGCCGGCTCTGGTGCATGGCCTGGCTGTGGCAGTAATGGTGGCTGTCATGGATAACATCAGGTAAACCTATCTGCAGAGTAAAACAGACTAAAACTCTTTTTGCTTCATGTGTTAATACATGTATTTAAATGATCAGAGTCATCTTTTCAACTAAAAATATGCTCTAAATGTGTTGTTCTCCTTGCTTCAAGTGGCTCCCACTTCAACCCTCCCTTCACCATTGCTATCTACCTGTGTGGAGGCTTGGAGCTGAAAATGGTGGGCCCCTACCTTGTGAGCCAATTAACTGGAGGAGTACTCGGAGCTGGAATGGCTAAGGTCAGCTAAAAAAAAAAGCTAAACGTCTAAAAGGATATGTTGTTTCATCTCGTTTGTTCGCTGAGCTGCGATTTTTGGCAATGCAGAATTCCTTTTACAAAAAGCAAATGATCATCTGCAATCTCACTGATTTCCGAGAGTTTATGACCAGCAAACCGTGTGGCTTCATTCTGTGCGGCCAATTCTTTGAACCCACTTCCTATTTTTGTGTGTATTCACAAAGCTGTACTCTTGACTGTGCACATTTTGTTCTTGTCCACATCATCCCACTTTCTAATCTACTTCGCAGCCATCCCCATGGTTATAATTTAATCTACCAGAGCACACCTTTAAAATAAAGGTAGTTGTCTGCATTGTTTGTAGACCTAGAGATTTGGGGCTGGAGTCAAATGTTTTCTGTCATAAGACAGCTCCAATGCAAATGTCAAAATACAACTCTAGTGCTCCAGATTGTACAAAAACTAAACTGAAATGGATTTGAGACACTTGCAGCCCTACAGAACATCACTGACCTACACAAGGCAATGTCAGTGAACAAGGCCCGGATGATTCTGGCAGATCCTGATCACCCACTCCATGGTGAGTTCAGGTTGCTTCCATCTGGACGCAGATATCTGCTGCCCAGTTGTAGAACGAACAGACTGAAAAACTCATTCATCCCTGTAGCGATCAGGCTTCTGTACTGTTATTTTAACGTCTCAATGTCTAGTACGGATGTTTGTGTGCCTACTGACTGTGAAACAAATTGCCCATTGAGGATAATAAAGATTCTTGAACTTGCAATTACTCCACAACTAATTATAGTGAAAATTAGTCACATAACAGTTTTGAACAGGTTAATGAATCAAGCGACAATACTATGAACCTCTGCAACTCAACAGAACATTGAGAACACCCCCAAATGTTTCAATACACGAGACTAACTGTTCGCCATCCAGTCGTCAAACATCTCACTGAGACGATGACAACAGTAAGCCTCATAAATATCTTGATGGTAAAACATTCCCGCCCTCATTTTCCAGCTGATGACCCCTGAGCAACGCTACAACAACGCAACGGGAGCAGCGTTTGATATCCTCAAGTCAGACAGCCAGCTGTATGGGGCCATTTTTGGAGAGCTGGCGATGACCTGCCTGGTGACCGTGGTGGTGCTGCTGGGGGCGGTCAACGGCAAGACGAAAACACCGCTCGCCCCGTTTCTGGTGGGCTGTACTGTCACTATTAACATCTTGGCAGGGTGAGATGAAAAGCTGCTGGCTGTAAAACAGCGGGTTGCATGTTAGCAGTTCGTTGTGCGCACTACCACAGTAATGTAATTTATCTGATAATGACCGGATAACTCCGGGCCTCTCAAAATACAAACACAAATAAAAGCAGACCAACGAAGCAATTACAAACCATCTCTTAAACTGCCGCTTACCCTTCATAAGTGCACCAACCCCACCATATTTGAGCGTACACAAACATAAAGCTGTGGGACAAAAGCAGGCGTGGAGTGAAGGAAAGCAACATTACTGCGGAGCACCACACATGAAATATGTGTGAGACGTCTATTTGAAATCCTGTGGCTAGCTGGTTGCACAGCGTGTCATCACTATGTACATTCAAGGCAGGTCAGCTCACCCCTACACACATGGACCACATTGAATCTGTGACTACCTCTTTTTGGTGGCTCAGAGGAGTAAAAGAGGCAGGATGACTTCAACACTCTCCATGTCATCCCTCAAAAATCACATTAAGGTGGGAAGAAGGCTTCTCCAGCTATGGCTGAAAAGTACTTTACATCAGTAGGTTTAAAAAGGCTAAAACTAGCAGCTAAATTATGCTTTTTTTTCTCCCAACAACAAATGTTTATGACTTACGACAGAGCTTTGGGGCCACGCTAAGAAAAAAAAAAATTACAAGCCATAATATTACAAGAATAAAGTAGAATAAAGTCTTAATATTATGAGAATAAAGTCATACGAGACTTTTTTTTTTCCAGCTCTCGTTTATTTATTTTTTCCAGGAGTCGGATAATGACGCGACCTGTCAATCAATCCAGTAGGCGTGTCAGCAAATGACCAATCCGAAGCTAAATGCTCCTTACCTGCAGAGAGCTGCTGCAGCCCACCAGAGCGTACCACCTTACTGTTATCAGGTTCAAAGTCCTGGTACTGATAATAATCTGATGTTGATGTGCTGACAGATTAACGAACTATCTCTTCATTTGTAAAACCAATACTAAAGTAAAACTTAACAAGATGCTCAACATTCTTCAGTTTACCACAGTTAAAATGCTTTAAACTTGCTTTATGTGCCAGAGTTCAGATAATATTACGACTCCTTTAGCTTCGGATTGGTCGTTTGCTGACAAGCCTACTGGACTGATTGACAGGTCACGTCGTGGATCCGACTCGTGGATAAAAAACAAGAACTGCAAAAAAAAAAAAAATCTCGTACAACTTTATTCTCGTAAAATTAAGATATTCGACTTTATTCTCGTAATTTTATGGCTTTAAAAAAATAATTTCTTAGCGTGGCCCTAAAGCTCCGTCGTAAAGGCTAGCTTAAAATGATATCAAGTGATGTTCTAGCCAAAGATCATAGGCAATAATATTACTCTTAAAAGTCAAAAGGAGGTGGCTTTTGAGCGATCTCTGTTTAGAGAAATAGAGTTTCTATTGGACAGGAGTGACAGGCTAACGGCTAGTACGAGCACCGCTAAGACCAGAGTGGACTGTTGCGATGTTAAAACAACTCCAATTTAAAATGTTATAGTGATTAATGCAATCACTGTTTCATATACACAGCAATCATACACAGTTATTTACTTAGAATTTTTTGTTTGTTTTGTTTTTTTGCAAATACAAATAGTAGCAGTAGCAGGCTAGCAGCTAACGGTGGCACTCCTGATGCACTTTCTTTTTTTTATTCAACCTCTATTTATACAGGTTAGTCTTATTGAGCCACGAGGACTCATTTACAAGAGACTTTCAGTGGCATCTTTATTATCTCCATGCTGAAAAAACGGTGTAATGCAAATGTGACAACGAAAGGCTGAAATAATAGCATTTAGATGAAATGTTATGAAAGTTTGATCATTTGAGTTAAGACAGCAGAAATCTGCTTAAATTAGCCTTTAGCTCATCAGTCCTGTCAGACTTAAACTCTATTTCTCCAAATTCAGGTCTCATTAAGAAATAACTGCAGCAGGTAAGATGTTTTTCTTCATAACGTTTACGGTGAACGTTGCGTTAAAATGGACAAAATGTTTCTTGAGCATGTCTCGCCTTTACCACGACACGTTTTATCAACAGCTGTGTGGTTTTGTCCAGGGGAGTTTTTCGTGCTGCAAACTAGTTCATTGTCAGCAAGTGAAATTTTTAGACACTTACCAAATGGTTTGCAGCCTTTTTTTAACTAATCAGTAACGAGCAGGCCTTCAAGAGATGGGAGCTAAAGCAACACGCCTGCAGATAAGATAAAGAGTTACCGTAATGTGCAGTGAGGGGGAAAAGTGTTTTTATTAATTGTGCTTTATTTAAGTATTTTAAAAAAATAAGCAAAATACATTTTTCAAGTTCATGTAACTTCATACTGACCTTTTTTAATTTCATTTATTTTACACAGGACAACACAATTTTCAAAAGACCTTAACATGAATAATTTTATGAATTGTAAAAAGGCCGATCAACAGAAATGTACGGTAAATATTCCCACAAACGTGTCCAATTAATGGCAAGCCTTAAATATTTTTTATTATTATTTTAGTTGATGTAATTTTTACTACTTAAGTGTAAAATTGTGAGGAAAAAAAACAGTTTATAGCAATAGAGTTGGACATTTCTGACTTTGCAATAAATATAATAATTGTTATTACTATAGATGCTTTTATCTAAAACCAATTTGCAAAATAAATATTTAAATAATGCTGATTGTTTTTTTATGTTTTACACAGAGGTGACATTTCAGGAACATGTCTCAACCCTGCGAGGGCTTTTGGTCCAGCTGTGTTCACCAACCACTGGACCTACCACTGGGTGTACTGGGTCGGACCCATCGCAGGAGGTCTGACGGCTGCTGCTTTGGTCAGGTAACAGAATCCACATGAAAGTGGATCAAATAATTGAAACGGCACCAGAATCACTTTGCGACTTTTTGTTTCAGGCTCGTTCTTGGAGATAAGAAGTTACGAGTTGTGATGAAATCCTGACAGCCAGAGAGGTGGCAATGAAGTTGTAAACTTTTATCCGTTTGTGTGCTTTACTGTTTTAGTTGTCATTTTATTTCATGCTGACATGTGTAATAGTTGTTTTTCAAAGTGCGGAATAAACATGGAGTGAATCTTATTTTGTCCCTGTTTTTTAAAAACAGCAAAGTGTTTTCTATACATGTCTATATCTTCTATAGACATTTTTTTCTATATATTTGCTTTTCTATAGATTTTCTATATATATTTCTTATAGACGCAGCACAAAGAGACACAAAAAGACAACTGGATTTGCACGCCGTGCAGTTCATGTTTTATTAGATTTCACCAGGAGTTGCTACATGTGTGTATCAGCCTGCGCTCCCCTCGGCGGACAGCTTAGCGGTATTTCTCGGACAGAGCCAGGGCCAAGTTGAAGAGGAACTTGTCCAAGGCAACATGGGCCTCCGGGGTGAAGTCAGCCGGGAACATGGTGGAGATGACCACCAGGAGGCAGTGGGCCAGGAGCTGAGGACAGAGACAAAGTTAATGATCACAATAAAGTTCATTTTACTCTGAAGGAGGATCAGCGTGCAACAGTTCAGCTCCAGTTAGAGCCGATTCATGCATTAATGCACTTAGAGCATCCTCATATTGGTTTTAAAACGATAACTCAGATGTTTTAAAGTTAATTAATTTCTAAAATGTAATGTAAAGCCTTCGTAAAACTTTATTTTAACATTCAGTGTTTTATTACAATAACCCAGTGACACTATTACATTGTATCAAGGTGGTTCAAAGAGCTATCTACAAAAGGTTGGATATTGATTGTTCACAACATCTCCACAGAACCCCACTTTAAAAACACCAAAATGTTCTTTAATTTAAAAAAAAATTAAAAATCCTAAAATAAGCAGGTAGTCTGAGATTTACCTTGAAGTTGGCCGGGTCCACCCTCAGTTTGAAGGCGTGCAGCTCGCTCAGTTCCAGCAGGCCTTTGGACAGGTCGTCGATCTTGGCCACGGCCAGAGCAACACCACCCATGATCTTCTTGCCATGGTTCTTCACGGAGGCAGAGCCGGAGCTCAAGTCCGGCCAGTGAGAGAAGTAGGTCTTAGTCTGGGGGTAAACACTCAGCAGCCTGTGGACGTGGAGGAAATGATCAATATAAATCAGTTTTTAAGTGACAAAGCGAGCAGCATTAGAAATGTTGAGGTTGAAGGTTCGATCCCCAGCAGCACCAAGTATAAACTTTTTTTTTTTTTTGAGGACTTAAACCATCCACATGAAGAAAACTAAAAGTCTGTGGCTGTTTTCTTGTAATCCTTAATATTGTCGTAGACGTTTAAGGGTTTTAAATGATCTAACAAGTAAAATTAACATTAAAACAGCTGATGTTGACCAAAATGCTCCACGACGAAATAAACTAAAAAAAAAAAAAAAAAATGCTGATTATTGTGCAAAGGATATGAAAGTACAGCGATGAATGAAAAAGCAGTTTAAACAACGAGAAAAGATTTAAAGTCTGAATTAAAAGGCGTACAAACCACATCCTTTAGATTCACTGAGCCATCTTATGCTTGGACTGAGCCTCTCATAAAACTAAAAAAACTCCCAACGTGTTAGTTCCTGACGGGTGTGAACGGGATCCATACCTGCTCAGAGCGTCAGCCCCAATGGCATCAGATGACTTGGAGATCTTGGCCCACAGCGCTTTGACCGCAGCCTTGTCCTTCTCTGTCAAACTCATGTCTGCGTCTTTCTGTCTACCTGAATCAGAGGGTGACTGCCGCTTTACTCCGGGGCCCTACTTAAATTCAGTTGGCCCCAAAAGTCACACCCATGTGAGGAGGGGTGTCTGTCCGCCTCCACTGACGCAGATAGGCCCCTTCAGACTCCCCTGATAGAAAGATCAGTGGTTTGATGCCAGCATGAGAGGCCCCTTATCAGCAGGGCCCATCATAAGGGGGAGAGGGGGGAGTTGGCGATAAAACAAGATCATTCTTACGTATTATTTGTGCAAGTAACGAAAAATTTCATAGAAGAGGTAGAAAAGTTGAGACTTGATCTCTGAGCGGTCTGCATCTGGTGCAAATATTATGTTTTAGAGGGAGACGTGGTGTTAAAAAGGTTAAATTTGACCCCAAAATAAGGATCAAATACAGCTGGAAATACTTTAACTGTGAAAATTAATTAAAAAAAAATAATAATTTTTTACTGTTTCAGTCATAAGAGTGAAGACGTTTGAGCAAAATGTGCACACTTTCATTGAGCTAGCAAAAAATAACGTTTGGTTCTTAAAGATGACTTTTTAAAAAAAGTTTATGAAATCGCATGTTCAAAGCACTTTAAAAAAAATCACGTGCGCCTTAAAAAATGTATAAGTTAATCAGAATTGATGTAAATGTCTTTTTCTTTAAAATTCCTTTCTATTTGTTTCAGTTCAGGTCCATCAAAAAGAACATCTTTGCACATTTTAAAACAATTTTACACATTTTCAGGTGCGTTTTTTTCAATGAAACTTTTATTTACGTAGTTTAAAATGCTTATTTGTGCATTTTGATAAAGGAAAAAACAACAACAAACAAACTAAGTAATATGTTGCTGAAAGTCAACAGCACCACATTTTCATTGAATCGTTTCTGGCATTTAAAAAAAAAAATCTGAAATCCTTCTAAGATTTATCAGTGATTGCATTTTTTTTTTAATTAAACATTTTTTAAAAAGGCTCATATCATAAATTAATTTGCTATCGAGGGAAGACAACGGTGCTGGCAGTCTTTATCAGCGAGCTCAAGTAATTTTCTTGATCAGAACGCCCCTGGATTTGGGCTCTGGGTGGGCGGAGGAGCCAGCTGCTGCAGATAACACCCGGGTGGCTCTGGGAGATAACACCCACCATAGAAAACACAAACTGCTCCGAGAGAGCGAGAAATAAAATCTAATTTAAGTATGCTGACTGACAATCACACAGGAAGTTGGAGGTTTTTGTGTTTAAAATAACTTTTTGATGTCTTTAGGTGAATTCATGCAAAAAATATAATAATAACTAATAATGTTGTTTTATTATTTGCTTGTTTTTGGAATTAAAATGGAAATTAGCTAACAATAATTTATCTTTAAAATCTTAAAAAATTTTAAAAAATCAATCAATCAGTATTAGGTTATTTATAAAAACATAACTTGAAATAATCAGCATTAATAAGTCATTTAGTGATGAAATCACAATCATTTTTACAAATTAAAGTTCAATTTAGAGCTTTGTTCTGAACTTGCACTGAAAGCAGTTTGTACAAATCTTTAAAAACTTTAATAAAAAGCAGAAAAAAATACATTTAAAATCTAAAATAGTTGACAAAATGTGTTTAAAGGACTCAATGTGCAACAGTGAGTCCAGTTTCTCATCAGCAAGTGTGCAAAACACATTTTAAACCTAGAAGAAATGTAGCTGCTGTTAGACGTTCTCGGTCATTCTAGTAAGTTCTGGAGAGTTCTTCTGTTTATCTGCAGCACATCATCTCCAGCCTATCAACAAGTGTCTGGCTCAGGGCGTGGGGGAGATTTGAGGCGTTTAAAAAGACCGGGGGTCCACACTACGAACCATTCAGCGTTTTCTCTCAAGCCTGAACAAAAGAAAATAAAACAAGATGGTTGAGTGGACCGAGCAGGAGCGCAGCATCATCACCAACATCTTCTCCAACTTGGACTATGACGACATTGGCCCCAAGGCTCTGGCCAGGTACAGCACGCACCTTGACAGAGAGCTGCAGGAGAATCCTCCTTCATCCTCCTCATCACCATGTCTCTTCCTTCCAGGTGCCTGATCGTTTACCCCTGGACTCAGAGGTACTTCGCCAGCTTTGGAAACCTCTACAACGCTGACGCCATCAAGACCAACCCCAACATCGCCGCTCACGGCACCAAGGTGCTGCACGGCCTGGACCGCGCCGTGAAGAACCTGGACAACATCAAGGCCACCTACGCCGAGCTGAGCGTGCTGCACTCCGAGAAGCTGCACGTCGACCCCGACAACTTCAAGGTACCGACTGAAACCATCACCCTGAAAATGACGCTTCCAAAAATGTGCTAAGACGTGTAGACACGGTCCTCACAAGAGCCATCTAACTGGTTTCTTTTCTCCATCCAGCTTCTGGCTGACTGCCTAACCATCGTCATCGCCGCCAAGCTGGGCAATGCATTCACCCCAGAGATCCAGGCCACCTTCCAGAAGTTCCTGGCTGTGGTGGTGTCCGCTCTGGGCAGGCAGTACCACTAAACCCAGCAGCCTCCACACTCCTGGGGAGGAGATCTAACCTCTGTTTCAACTAGTTATGTGTCTCCTCTAACAAAATAAAAGCCTACTAAAGCTACTTTCTCTTCATCCTGACTCTTTTTTTTTTACCTTCAAAAAGCCATTTTTGTAAAAAGGTGTGCGTGCAAACGTCGATTAAATATATGAGTTGAATTAAAGAATTAAAGCTGCACTGAATTAGCTTCATTAAAATATTTAGGATTCTTGTTGTGATGCTTCAGGGACGAGTAAAGTTTTTATTGTTTTGTTTTTTTTCTATGTGAAGCTTTAAAACAGACGCACAGATCAAAACCAAGACGTGGGTAAAAAATTAAATCCAAAGTTGTTTTTGTTCAGAGAAACACGCAGAGGCCCCATTTTAACCAGAACGGGCTCAGACGTATTGGGAACAAGTTTTTTTTTGTTTAAAAAAATTGTTAAAAATTAAAAATGAACAGAAAATGTGACTTGTTATCGGAGGTTTGTATTGCCTTATTGTCACTGCAGCAGTAGAAAAAACAAGTCGGACGTTTGAAATGGCTGAAAAATCTGAAAGTTGAAGTAGCAAATGCAAAAGGATGAAATTGTGCTTCTTTAGCAGAGAAATACAAACAGAACTTTTCTGGCTCGACCCACTTTGAGTACCCCGCCCAGAACCCCACCCCCCCCCTGCAACAGGGCAAGAAGCGCAGCAGAATGAACAGTAACATCTGTTTGCTCAGAAGCTGATTGTTAAATCCACAAAGAGGCGCTCTTTAAGCACGCCAGTTTAACTTTTTCAATCTTTTTATAAAAACCTGAAAATTTCATAAAAAAAAAAAAAATTAATAATATTAACATCAGTAATCTGTTGCGCCCCCACTAGAAGAAGTAAACATTTCACGCACCCCCCAACTCTCCGTTGTGACTGTAAATAATATAATTTGTCAATAAAATTACCTCTGCATAACATTGTGTCCTTATTAACATTAAAGAAAACAAAATAAAGAAAGAAATCCACTTCCAACAAAGAATAACTTTATTAACATTGTTTTTTTTTAAGTCTGTAACAGAAAAAACTTAAAGTGCATCAATTTGCCTGAAATAAACAATCCTTATTTAAACTGTAAACATTTTTGAGTATTTGATACTGAAAAATAAAATTATATATAATCAATAATAATGAATAATAATAAATTCAAATTGATCAGCAACATTTTAACTCAGGAGTGTTATAGAAAACACTTTAACCTACAAAAAAAAAAAATATGAATATGTAAAAAAAAAATATATATATATACAGCATGAAGCATAATGTCAAAACTTTGTTTTACATATTCAAGGGAGTGGGTAGAAGTATAAACTTATCAAAATTCCCACTCCTTAACCGCTTACATAATCTTACATTCATTACATGTATAATCCATAAATATAACAACTAATCCCATATTTATCCATCAATATAGTATATATTTAAGTTATCTATAGTAGATGAACAATTATTATTCCTTTAACTTCACCAAAAACAAAAGCATCAATAACAAATAACAAAAAAAAAAACAACAACAACAATAAATGAATAATGTTACTATATATTATATCCAACAATAATCTTATGTTTATATGATAATTTGAACAGTTTAATGTTTGGACATTGTTTAAGTTCAATATTCAAATTATTCCACAGTTTGACTCCTCTTACTGATACACAAAAGTTTTTTCTAGTAGTTCTAATTTTGCATATTTTAAACTATGATTCCCCTTAACTTATAAATTTGCTCCTTAATTTTAAACAGATTTTGAATGTTTTCCGGTAATTGTTTATTTTTGGCTTTGTGAAGAATTAGAGCTGTCTGTAGTTTCACTATGTCAATGAACTTTAATAATTTAGATTTTACAAATGGTGCATTAGTGTTTCTAAATATCTCACCTTATGGATTATTCTTATTGATCTTTTTCTAGTATTGTTAATGCCTGTAGTGTAGTTTTGTAATTATTGCCCCAGATTTCTGTACAATAACTTAAATAAGGTAAGATTAGTGAACAGTAGAGTAAATGTAATGCCTTTTGTTCTATGACCGACTTGTCATTGTTTAAGAGGTTGATATTTCTTGAGACTTTACTTTGAACATATCTGATGTTTGGTTTCCAGTTCCAGTTATCATCAATAATGACACCAAGAAATCTGTTTTCATGAACTCTTTCCATATTCAGCCCATTTATTTGTATTTGAATTTCTTTATGTGATTGACAGTTCCCAAATAACATTATTTTTGTTTTGTTTAGGTTCAAGGACAGCTTATTTTCATCAAAACACATTTTAAGTCTATTCAATTCATTAGTTACATCCTTTAACAGTTGTTCCATGTCATCTCCAACACAAAAAATATTTGTTCATCCATCCATCCATCCATCCATCCATCCATTATCTTTACCCGCTTATTCCATTTTGGGTCACGGGGGTCGCCGGTGCCCATGTCCAGCAATCACTGTGCGAGGGGCGGGGGACACCCTGGACGGGTCGCAAGTCCATCACAGGGAACAAAAAGTAACCAATGAGTTCAAATTAAGGCAGACACAGTGCAACAATGGTGGAGTATTTTTACAGTAGATGTTTGCAGGTATAAATGT